CACAGCGAACATACCGTTTCGAAATGTAAACAATGAGAGGAGATCCGTACATTGACTGCAGCCATTAATCCCCTCCTGTGTCGCATTAAATGATTCCGGGTAGTGTTTGTCTGTAAGTATAATTCCTTATGTGAGAGTATTAATGGATAGAAGAGTCTAGAATATCCCAAACTATCTTGTATTCGTGTTGTAACAACAGCAACTTTATTTCTGGTGGTGGATAAAGCTTTTGTCCAGTATGCTGGGTGGGAGGTGGTGGTGGTGGGGTGGGGGTGGGACTGTTATCACTGTTACTCCTTCAACAGCGGAAATATGCAGGCAAAGCTAATGCAATTAAAAGCTACTGTCTTTACCACGTTAACTGGAAGCGGTGTGGCATAAAAGTGGGGTGAAAACGAGGCGCTGCGTTGTTATTTATGCGTCTTTTTGAACCCGCATTTTGAGATTCTGAGCACTGTGCAACACTCGGTAACACTAAACTAAACATTAATGTGTACTGTCCCTTTAAGGCACCAGCACGTTTACGTCATCTTTATAACTGCGCAGCGTTGCACCGGAAGGAAGTGGGTGTTAGCTGACTGACGTTAGCAAGCTACAATCAATAAGTCTGCTGCGGCTTCTATGGTAAATATACGTTTTTGTCGACGGCCGAATACAAACACGCTGTCAACTTTTGGGGAGATAAAGTTGTGCTTGTTGCCGGTGTCATTTTGTGTGGATTTTGCGCGATTTTTTTTTATAATCAAGGCAACTTTTAGTCAATGCTAACCTGATAGCTCGCTCGTTTAGCCGTGCTGGCAAAAAATCTAATTACTACTTTCTGGATTTAAGGTTGTTGTTCAGTGTTTAAAGAGAGGGAAAGCGTCGGGCAAACAATAATAACTCTAAATATTATTAGTGCTTTTGAAAAAAAAGAGATTCCAGCCGAAGAGCAAAAGTTTCTGCCCCGTTAAAGGCTTTTTATAGCTTTATGATGGAAACCTGAGCTGAAAGGAGAAATGTTCATTTAATGTTAAATTAATGTTAAATTGTACTAAAAGTGTGAAAGACTTTTTGTTTTTCCCATTGACATATTGCCAGGTCACGTCTATGACTCGACAAAGAACACTTAATTAACGTATAATAACACTTATTATCATTACTATTATAGAATATAATGTGTTATTATATCAACATTTAGCCAGCAAACACATGATCTTAATTAAGACAATTTCCTCATGTTTTATCACAGATTTAGAATTCATAAAGTCTCTTTAGGAATAAAATACATGAGTCACAGACTCATACTTAGTCATTAAATGGTTAAAATGGTGATATAATACGAACAACAGATGGGCTTGGGTTTTAAAGTGCCACAGACGAGTTAGGGAAATCAGAGAATATTTAAAGATGGACTAATGCGTTTTTGGATTTGGTTGCAAATAATCCTTAAAAAAAAGAGCTCCCTGCATTAACATTGACATGTGTTATTAATCTAATGTAACTTTTTCCACCGAGTGCCCCAAACCGAGTTATATCAGTGACATGAAGGTTTCACTTCTATGTTTTATCTTTTTCTGTACCAGGAAGAGATGTCAGGAGAGAGTGTGGTGAGCTCGGCAGTGCCGGCGGCTACAACCAGGACTACATCCTTCAAGGGCTCCAGTCCCAGCTCTAAATATGTGAAGTTAAATGTGGGTGGGGCCCTGTACTACACTACGATGCAGACACTAACCAAACAGGACACGATGCTCAAAGCCATGTTCAGCGGCAGGATGGAGGTCCTCACAGACAGCGAAGGTGAGCCACTGATGGAAGTGTGTACGTTAAATTCAGGGTTTTATGTCATCCCTGCACTCGCCATGATCTATTACCAATTAACGTTTCACCGTCTCATACGCATAGGTTGGATCTTGATCGATCGCTGTGGGAAACATTTTGGAACAATCCTTAACTACCTTAGAGACGGGGCAGTGCCGCTCCCAGACAGCCGGCGGGAAACCGAGGAGCTGCTCGCTGAGGCCAAGTATTACCTTGTCCAAGGCCTGGCTGATGAATGTACAGCTGCCTTGCAGGTACCGTCGCCACAGAGGACTATATTAATACTTAATCTGTCTTCATATTATCAGAGTTTTTTTGTTAAATTAACTCCACAGAACTGTTACTAAGTCACATATGCTTGGAATAATTTCTGATATACTTCATCATTCCACCTATTTTAATTTCACTATATGTCAGACCAACTTTGCCCATACTGTATCTCTCATCCTCAAAATCAATTAAAGGATAAGAACTTTGTATGAAAATACTGTTGAAGACCTAATCTTTTTTATTGTTCCTTTTCGACTACTATGAGGGACAAAAAACAAAGTCTCAGGATTTATAGATAGATAGATGATAGATAGATAGAGCGCTAGAATAGTAGTTAGATTAGATTTTTAGAGTAGCAATTTTAGCAGTAGATAGATAGATAAATAAAACAATAAACCTAGTTATTGTTGGGGTGGGTGTTGCTTCACCTTCATCATCTTTGCTACTCAGTTCCACCAGGTGGCATCCTTCCTCTTACACTTTGAGCGTCTTGCAGTTTTACAGGTTTTTAATGGGAAAACATTTTTTCTTCACAGAACAAAGAAACCTATGAACCCCTTTGTAAAGTGCCTTTGATGACCTCCTCCAAGGAAGAGCAGAAGCTTATTGCAACCTCAAATAAGGTATGTTGTTATCTTTACATAATGTGCAGAATTTCTAGTGTTTAGTATCAAGCAAAATGTGTCGTTAAGATTTTTCTGTTAAAATACAAACTTCTTTGTCTCCACAGCCTACTGTCAAATTGCTGTATAACAGAAGCAACAACAAATATTCATACACCAGGTGCGTCCTCTTCAACTGATACCAGGAGCGAGCATGTCTAATTACAGAAAGGAAGGAACAAGTTGTCCTAATAAATAACCAACATCATGTTGTTTTTTCCTCCAGCAATTCTGATGACAACATGCTGAAAAACATTGAGCTGTTTGACAAGCTGTCACTGCGTTTCAACGGTCGTGTACTCTTCATCAAAGATGTGATTGGAGATGAGATCTGTTGTTGGTCATTTTATGGCCAGGGGCGTAAGATTGCTGAAGTGTGCTGCACATCCATAGTTTATGCCACAGAGAAGAAGCAGACAAAGGTACATATGTATTTATAATACACCCCTGCTCCTTTGTCAGCATAGAGCTACAGTATGTTGCTTTAGTTATTTCTCTAATGTCTTGTGTAACACTTCTCTCCTAGGTGGAGTTCCCCGAGGCTCGAATCTATGAGGAGACCCTTAACATCCTCTTGTATGAGTCCCATGATGGGAGGGGTCCAGACAACGCCCTGTTGGAGGCCACAGGGGGCGCCGCAGGACGATCTCATCATCTGGATGAGGACGACGAGAGAGAACGAATTGAGCGAGTTCGTAGGATTCATATCAAACGACCCGATGACCGCACACACCACCACCAGTGACCTTTCTCCCTCGACCCGTCAGCCTGTGTCTCCGATCCTGGACAGTCTTTGCACCACGCTTGTGCCTTACGTCACCCAGCGCCTCTCTTGTCTCACTTTCACTCTTATTTTACCAGCTTTTTCTCCAGGAGACTACTACGAGACGAGTGTCAATCAACAGTGTGTAGTGGTGAAGTGATTTTATGAGTGTTTGTTTGTGTGTCCACTTGTCATCTTTGTCGTGTGGTCCGACAGGCTGTAGTGTTTTATTCTCTGTTCGTTAGTCATGATAACTTCTATCACTGTATTCTGCTATCGTGCAGAAGCCCATAGACATGGGTGTTTCCACGCAGCACTTCAGGTGCCCAAAGTTTTACAAAGAATATAGTATTATTAGCATAAATCTTGTTATTTGAGGTCCTAACTACATTAAATCCAGGAGAACAAGAATTATATCACGTAAGCAGCTAAAAATTAATGTACATAATTTTTTGCTTCTCCTTACCGTGGCTCTGACGGGTCCACTGTGTGGTGGATTAACTAGGTGTTGTACACTATAGAACCACATGGTGGCACTGTTTTACTCTTAGATGTTATTAAGGCTATTTTGTAGCCTGCAGATAATAGCAATTAAACCTTTTTAAAATGTAATGATTTTTGATACAGTTAAGATATCACAGGCGGATGCAACATTTCACTCTAGTGCTTCTGCCATATTTAGTTTTAACATTTATGCATCTTCCCTTCACTCCACTAAATGATCATTATTTTCAGTGTTGGGAACTTGAGCTGTGACCTGAGGTGTTAAATGTACTGGGGTGATTGAATGATGGATGCTGAGGTTGAAGTGAATGACTGTAACCAGAGATCTCCCTGGCAGGAAGGGAATCCTGTCTACAAGCTTTTAACAGGGAGAGAAATTAGACCTGTCCTTCATCGCCACATTCATCAGAGAATGTACTGTTTGCACACACAATAGGTTTGAGTTGAAATATGTCTAACAATCACAGTACTTGTAGGTCTGTTGTACAGAAGTGAACATATATGTATGTTTTATATTTATACATACTTTATCACAAATAAATTTCTACAAACATTCTTTTGCTCTGTTTTTAATTCGCATATTCCCCATTGTCAGTGAACATACAAAATTATGACACATATGGCTTAACTGTTCAAAAATCAGAATTACACATTCCAGGAGTAATGTTGAGTGTTTTGTACACTGAAATAGTTTTGTAGACCTAAATGTTTGATTCACAGGCCAATGTGAGCCTTTGTGAAACAATCATGTTAAAACCTCTCATGAGAGTTCAGTACTCTTCGGTGGAAAAATAAAAACCGTTATAGACTAGTATGTATGTATGTATGTATGTATATAGGAGAAACCTGTTGCTGTGAAAAAAAAACAAGCTCATGCAGAGTTCCTAAAGTGTTGCTGTTTCTGGTCAGGTGTGTTTCCTGTAGAAATGTAGATCTACCCTTAGGGGTCTCCTGATGAAATATGCAGGGGCTTCTTGTGTGTCTTCTCAACCCCACACATTTTACCGTGTCCTGGCTCGAGTGGCAACCTGCAGTCACAAACAGCTTAAATCAGGTTGTGTCCCTTTGTGTGCAGATTCAAGCACACTCTTCATCATAACCACACTCATCTCACCACCATGAGGTGTCCGTTCTTGGCCTTGTATACCATTGGTTCCTGCCCGGTGGTGAAGTCCACCGCACTTTCTTTACCTGCCTGGATTTCAATCTTGATGCTGAGAATCAACACAAACACAAGAACATTAGATTACAGCACATTTAAAATCCAGTCTCTTCAGTTCTTTCTGAAGCACAGACTCACCTGCCCTGAACCACTTTAACTGCATTCTGTTTGTTAGCAATGACACAGAGTTTGGTCAAAAACTCAAACAAGTGGTCGCACTGCATCACAAGGTCCCCCTGAAACAATCACACAATATTAAACACACAGATGGAAAATCTTCTTACACTTCTCTGTGTCAATGAGCTGTTTGATTCAATAATTTACTTAATATTTTCTTTTCCTTCAATAATATTCAGTAGGGTAAAGCTGCTTTAACACTAAAGAAAGTGTTGTCTTTTATCTCTGTTTATTTGTACAGGAAACAAGAGCATTAGACATCTGCTGCATATCATATATCCACATACCTTCTGTTTAGGATCCTCACATGTGATGTGGAATACAATGATTCCATCAGTCAAGTTACTGACTGAAATACCTGAAATGCATAGATTACAGACACTTTTAGGCCATTATGAAAACATCCCTAGTGGCAGGTTTAATATATTAACCTGTACGGACCTTTGAGAGAGGTGTACAGCACTCTCTGTTTGATCTTGGCTTCCTCGATCACATATGCAGCTGTCTGGGTGAGGATGAGCTGTCGTGGCCTTGGTTTGAAACCCTTCCTGTCATATTTGATTACTGGGATGCTGTACTGCAGAAATACAGAATACAACACAGTGAGTTGTGTTTGATTTGATGTTATTTCCTCTAGCTGCATAAGTTTATTACCTTTTTGTTACTTTAGTGTGTTTAATTACCTTAATGTGCTCATTGCGAATCATCTGGAGAACCCTCATGTTTATGTCTTGTTCACCTAAAGATATTAAATGAGGTTAAAAAAAAAGATTGCTCAGACGAAAATGTTCTTGTGTGAATGTATCTCATACTTACTGATCCTGGTGTCCACAAAAGGTTGAGCAACACTCTGTGGATAACTTTCCTTTTTGCCCTTGAAGATGGAGCTGGTAACAAGCTTCAGTTGAAGCTGAAGAGACAAACAATATAAAGTCAATCACTACAAAAGAATGTATGATGAGTGTTATATAATGTGTTTAAACGTGTGTTACCTGTGCTTTTCTCTGTGGTGTGATGCCTCTCACATACTTCCGCACCATAAGACGGTAGTGAAGTTTACGCAGTAGTTCTGATGTCTGACAAGACAAAACATGCAGTGTAAAACTAAAAATGTTAGCTTGTATTTAAACTGTTTGACAATTCATTTGATTAATCGTTGTACCTCTGTGAGCACAGCTGGTGGAGACTGCCAGGTGGTTTTGTCCAAAACGGTCTTTGGCAGAGTCTGTTTAAGCCTGTTCAGGTAATTTTGTCTCACAAAGGCCAGGTACTCCGAGTTATCTGTGCATTTTGCTTGCCCTCTGGTCATGTAACCTTTGATGAATCTAAAATTGGTTGTAAAATATTGCATTAGTAAGAAATGTGGCAGTAAGCTTGTAATGATACATGACTCATCTTCTTTCTTACTTCTTGATGACTTTTACAGCCCAGGCTCTCTTCTCTCTCTCCTTCCTAGCCTGCACTCCTCTCCAACAGGTTTCAATTTTAGTAGCTGTGGATGTAAAAATATAATAGAGGAAGTGTTATTGTCCTTCCTTCACTTAACAAAACAACATAGTACATCTTGTCTACATCAGGTTTTGTGGCATTCACCAGCTTCCTTCTGCCTTCTGAATTCTCCTTTTGCTCTGTAACCTTTGTATTTGGCCTGGAGTCTCGTTGCTGCAAATTCAGAGCACAATATTAAATCACTGCGCAACAAGTAATGACTAAAAAATAATAATAAACAGTTGATGTGCGCTTACCCAGTTCATGTTTGCATTTCTCATAAGCATCCTCTGTGGCATAAAGTGTCCTTGGATGACGGATGAATATTTTGGTGCTATAACAAAAGCAAAAAATAAAAAGACTTTTTGGTTACTCCTTCTTTAAATGCATTTGCTGTGTTGTGTATTTAGGAAGAACTGTCCTCACCGTCCCATTTTGTACTCATATGGCAAGTAGCCCAGATGTTGAACCAGCACTTCAACTCCATCAGCGGGCACCCCTCTCCAGTGAGGCCATGTGGCTGGGCACAGGGGTTTATATCTGCAGCAAACAACCCACTCAGCATGTTTGAAATGCACTGAGAGGAACTACTTAAAGTGAGGTTTTTAATCTAAAAATGAATAAGGTCCAGGCTCTGTGGTCCTTCATACCTCTTTAGGAAGACGTCATATTTGCGTCTGTACGCAAAACCAGCTCGTCTGACTCTGAGGTGCTCCATCAGGCCCAGGTACTTCACCTGGTGCCTGATGAGTGCTTCGTCAAACTGACCTGTGTTCGGGTGAGAGAGGATTCAATTCAAACATCTCTTATTAAAATACGCTACATGTGGATTCTATTAATTGAAGTACCTGGCTGCTTGGACTCATTCGATTTTAGGCAGCGTATGTACCAGGCCTCTTTAGCCATGAGGATCTCTGTCAGCTTCAGCAGGCTGCTCTTAAACTGGGTCGCCACCTACAGACACAACATGAGGGTCATAATCCCCAACAGCTCATCTGTCAGATACATATGGCTTAATGATGACACAGTTTGACTGCCACTGACAGAGAGACAATGTCTCAGTGGTTACTCAATCTAGAACGCTTATTGGTTTGTTTCTTCTCTTTTATAATCTCTACATTGTTTAGATTTGTACTTAAAAAATATGTTGCAAAAAATTGAAAAATGTGTGTCACACATGTTTTGTATGGACTTTTGTCTTCTCTTCCTCTTTTATGTGGATATTAAATTGTTTGGGGATAATTGCTGCTAGCTTGTATTACGTGATCTCCTAATTGCAGAGGTGGGACCAAGTCATTGTTTTGCAAGGTAAGTCTCAAGTCTTTGCACTCAAGTCAAGACTGAAAAGCTCCAAGTCAAGTCCTAAGTCCTAAACAATTCCTAATGTGACCATTGAGTAGGTTTTGACCATTGAGTAGTTTTTTCACGTGAACAAATATTTATAGGTATACAGAACATTTATAGGAGACTGACTCGAGTCCAGTGTCATTTGACTGGAGTCCACACTGCTACCTAATTGTAGATGGTGTCATTTGTCTAACTATATGTCCTGCTTTTTGTTCACATGAATGAATATCATCGTATAATGTGGGTGAAAATGTTGCATAAATAAAAAAAGCTCTCCTTTTCCATAATATGTAACATCAGTTTTGTTAGTGACACATTTGAAGGATATGAAGGATCAAACATGGTCAGCACTCACTGTTTCTGGTCTTCGCCTGCTGTCTGGATCCACTGTGGCAAAGCACTCTCTGACTATGGCATTCTTAGACTGACAAATCAGCTATAAGAAGGTGAGGTAACACACATAGATTATAAATTTACCAATTTACCATTATATGTGATACTTCAACACTGTCTGATAATATAACAGAGTAGTCATTAATGTGCAGTTTCTGCAATAAGTAAAAAATATCTGCTGTGAAAAAGATCTATGAACATGATTCATTTTGGAACAATAAATAACAAATGTAATCTTTGCAGACTTACATCTTTTATGTTTCTATATAACAGGTCATTGTTTTTGTCCAGGAAACCTAGAATGTCACAAAAAAGTATTTTAGTCAGTTGAAAACAAAATAAAACGGCTTTAGATGTTTGAGTAACAGGGCCTGACATTCTGGTTTCTTTTACCCACAACACAGTAGGTGACCTCCCCGGCATAATGCAAGAGACGGAAATCTCCCCTCTCCAGAGTCTTACGTGTCATTTTGTCAGCCAGTTTGTGCCTGCAGTCAAAGAGGTGGAGAGAGACAGAGGGATGAAGAGTTAGAGGCTTTTACAGACCAATCCTAATCCTCCGTCTCTATCGGCTCACTGTCAGCTCGCTCACAAGACGCCAGCCAGCAGAGCGTTGATGAATGGAGTTAGTGTCGAGGCAAAGCTTTGAGTTACATAATATCGTTTAGACAGTGCTTGTATTTAATTAAAACATGTGTTTAATTGCCAAATGTGCAACTCCAAAACACTGATCGTGTAAATATTTCAAAATGATTACAAAAAGCAGATGGGATCAGTGTCATTAGTGCCAAAAACATTTTTTAAGCAACTTCACATCTAGTATCAAGAATTCTGTAGGTGTGTATACTAGATTAAAATGAGGTTTTACGTGACAAAGTGAGGGTGATTTCCCATCTTGTCTTCCAGTCTCTCCAGGAAGGTGAGATCTGTGGCGTCTCCTGGCCTGAGACACTCTTCATCCTGCAGGATTATCATTAACACATGATTATACTTCAGCTCCAGTGTGTTTTATTCCAGTATAGTTCTATCCCAGTAAATACTCACCAGTATGGATATGATTCCTCTGTGTCTCTCCTCAACCAGGTCACAGATGATCTTGTTGTTGAAGAACTGAACCGGCTCCCACTGGGGGAAGAATTATAAAACATTGTTGTTTATCCAACCATTTGATGTAAACCTATTCTATCAGTGTCATTGAATCAGTGCCCCTCCAAAGTTTTTGTTTCGGGTTTACAAGATTACCTCAATATCCTCTGCTTCATATTCTTCCTGCTCAGCCTTGAGTGTCAATTGGATAAAAAGCTGCTGCAGCTTCTCATTGCAGTAGTTTATACAGAACTGCTCAAAACTGAGGAAAGAGATCAAACATCATCATCACAGAATAACTCATAAGTTTGCAGGTTTCCCAATGTGCTTCATGAAGTGTGTTCTTCCTACCTGTTTACATAGAAAACCTCAAATCCATATATGTCCAAGAGCCCTATTACAGTCTTCCTTGAAGGATCCTAATGAAAGTATAAAATCAGTAAATACTCATCCTCACTGCTTGGGATTTGTCATTTGTTTTACACTCCTCTCCTCACCTTGTTCTCCATGGACTTGTTGATTCTGTTGACCAGCCAGGTGAATGTCTGTCCATAGATGGCTTTAGCCAGGGCATCTCTGGCATAAATAGCATGATCGATTGTGAATGGGCTGAGGACCTTTACAGAAAGACAAAAATAAAAGATTTAAAGTTTAAAATAGAAACATAACCTTTAACCATTTTAACATGTGTGCACCTGATCTGTTCTGGCTTCAATCTTCCTGTATGTGAGTCCCTCTTGGAGACTATGAGCATCAACTCCTAGTAGCTGCAGGGAAAAATATCATTAAGTGAGTTTTATTTTTCTTTTCTTTAATAATCCTGGATATCTGAAGACTTTTTTATTAATTTTTTTTTTAATCTGTATTTTCTTACATTTGAGACCCAGCGCAGCTCTGCATTATTGTTCAGGAGGGCATGACCTTTGCTGTTGGTGTCAAACTGAACGTTCCCCAAATGGAGAACGCTTGCAACGATCCCAAACAAGTGCTGCACAGAATGAAAATTTGTTAGGCAATGCAAAGCAATTAGTAAAGAGAGAGGGCTTTAAAATCAGAGCGTGAGCAACTGCATCCAACTTACTTTAGTGTTAATCTCGTCAATGTTGATGATTTGCAGAGCATTTTTGACCGTTTTCCAGTCATTTCTGTCATTAATGGAAGACACAATGGCACACTCTCCCTGCCAGAAACAAGCAAACACAGATTGTCATTAAGTGTACTATTGTCTTATAAATCTATTTGATTAAAACAGGGTCATTGTGCAGGGGAAAAGCCAGATAAATATGGAGACTTTAAGGGGTAGCAAACAATCACATATATCAATATTTGCTAGGGAAAGCTGCCAAATGAAGATATATCGACTCAGAAATATCTAAAGGTAACATTAGAAATCAATACATTGTTTTTTTAATTGAACACCATAATAGATCATTAAATTCATTTCTATTTTTGAACGCATTATTTTCACAGTTTGACACCAAACTGGGGTGGCACCTGAGGGGGCCAGGAATTGTTTTAGCCACCCCTCTAGATCGGCCCCTGTCACAGAGTTACACATACTTGGGTTAGATAGTTGTAATGCTGGGCGTCTTTCTCCAGGCCCAGCTCGTGCAGTAGATGATCCTCTCCTCCCTCCACTAGCTGGTAGAAGATGTGGAAGTTTCTCTCCCCGTGGTTCTGATGAACAACCCTTGACTTCTCCAGCAGGTAGTTCAGGATATGGCCTCCGACTGCATCCCCCTATGGGCATCATGATCCTAAAGACAGCAGCTCTACAACTTGCAGAAAAAAATATAGCCTATGGTCCAGTGGACGGATTTAAAACACCTTCTTAGGATAAAATATATTTTTCTTGAAAGCTATTGTTGTATTTGTGGGTGTTTAGCAAAGTAAAAAAACTTATTGGTAAAACTTATTATTTAAATGTATTTTTACAATGAACCTGAGCTTTAAATTATATATTTTACAGTTAAAACTTGTTATTTGTCATTTTATTTCACATACTGTCTCCTAATTGTTTGCAGCTGAGTAGGTTAGATTATTGTTTCTAGGTACATTTGTAAGAACTTCATGTTCTCAAAACAGGATAACTATATTTACTTCCTATTAACGTCCTTTTTCTTTCTATATAGAATTAATTAATTTATTCCTTGGAAGTGCTTCTGTGAATCTTTCCCTTGATTCTTACCTGGCTGTCAAACTGAATGTCCATATACTTCCCAAACCGACTTGAGTTGTCATTTTTCAGTGTTTTGGCATTGCCGAAAGCCTGTGGGGAAACACCAATACCATGCAAGACTCATTAATGTAAGCTTTTTGGTATCTCCTTACAATGGTATAACATCAGTAACCATCAAACCTCAAGCACAGGGTTGGACATGAGCATTTTGTCCCTGACGGTGTTTAGTAGAGTGGTGCTCGGACAGGTGACAGCGTAATACTGCAGAATCTTCTTGGAGGCCTCCGTCTTCCCTGCTCCACTCTCACCAGAGATGAGGATGAAGTGATTGTTGTACTCTGTCAGCATGGTTTGGTAGGCATTGTCTGCTAAGGCGTAGCTGTAGGGATGTTTAAGTCAGGTGTGTTAATGCTCACAGACACACACGTACAAATATTCATCATTTTCATGCAGATTATACACTCACATGTGTGGTGGAAGCTCAAAGAAGTTGACACCCATGTGGACTTCCATCTGTTTCTTATTGTAGATGTCCAGCTCTTTGTAGGGATTGACGGACACAAGCAATGTGCCGATGTAGGTCTAAAAGAGTTAAAATCATCAGATGAATTGTTAAAATGAATTTGGTGCCAGCAGGATTTAGAAAAAAGTCCCTTCCCAGACTCACATAAATGAGATCTTTGCTGAAGCGTTTCTCGAGGTTGCTGAGGAAGGCCGCCTCTGTGGTTTCATCCAGAAGAACAAAATCCTGGATTCCAACCCGGCCCCTGGCAGTCAGGGCGCCCTCCATGTCCAGCTGACCCTGTGCAACAAGTTGTATCAAGCATAAGGCAGCGAAATGTACAACCTAAGAGTCCAAATTCCTAGTGTTTCAGAAGTTTTCTCTATTTCTAAAACATATTTCACATTCAATACTTCACAGTGCTTCATAAATGTAGGTGTTGTTGGGGTTAACATCTTCATAAATGAGTGTAAACACATTCTGCATGCATAACAATGATATTCAAAATTCTCAGCCATTTATATTGACAAATGCGGCTGGTTGAATGAATGTTTGAATAAATGACTCCATGGGGGAGCACGGTGCTGAAAAAAGCAACAGAAAAAGCACAAACATGGTCCCTGTTAGTTCTATTGAAATAAGAGGTCTAGAGGTCTTATGTGTCTGAAGAAAAGCTCTGTGATTGTGCAGACAAACAGACAGAAGCTAATGATCGCTACAGAGCACACAGGGACCTTGGCATGCAGCCCGTGGTTCACTAGAGCTGACGCACCAACCAAACACAACACACTGTGCAAATGGACTCGGGGAGCCCAAAACAGCGGCACATTTAAGAGGCATAGTGGGAAAAATTCCACCAATCTGTTTTGCATTCTCAGCACCAACACTTAGACCAAAGGTTTTCACAGCTTTTGTTGGTTTTGTATTTTTTTTCTCTCTCCTTTGGAAGCAGAAGTCCTTTGATTCTCAACTCTCTCTGTAAAAACATTAAAAAAGATAATCCATTGGATCTAATTGACACAAAGCCCTCCGTCCCCCCTCCTCCCCTGCCTCTATCCTCCGCCTATGGCCCTCATTTCTTCTGAGAAAGGCCAAGTGTTTTTGTCCTGTAAATACCACGGAGCAGAGACAAAAAAGACGTCTTTAAAATGCAGTCTACAATCCATTACACAAATTCCCCCTGCATATCCATTCAGTAATTATTCATTAGAAAACATTTAACGTCACAGTGAATTTCACACTAGGCAGTCGAAACACAATAGAGGAGATTTGGCCTATTTTGGGGTGAGGAGTTGGGGAGGGGTTGGCTGTAAAGAGGAAGGGTGAAGGCGAAGGAAGGGGGAGGAGGGGAGCAGTATTTGTCTGATCTGAGAACCTCTGAAACGGGGCCGTCTTGAGACAACGGGACAGACTAAATAGTGCAGTAACGGTCTATGCCCCGCTGCTTGCTGTGACACTCATTTAGTGTGCCCCGAGGGCGAACAATAGAGGCTTGTTCTTAGCAATCCTGTGCTGTAATTTGGACTTCATTACTTTGCTCACACGGGGCCCCATGGAAGGATAGAGGAGGCTAGTCAGATGAGAGTGTTTTTTTCCACCTGTCAGGCCCTCACCCCCAATGCTCTCACCCCTCTCCTCAACAATACCCCTCACCCCGTGTCCCCACCAATAACCCTCACCCGACCCCCTTCCCATAGCCAAACCCTACCCTCCTACCCTCCCAACCACCCACTTTAAGCCAATGAGACAGGTGAACAATATCATTGAAGGAACCCTTTTTTGGACGTCAGAATCAATCTGCCGATGTGATGGTAGTGGTGCTGGTGTGGGGTATCTGTGACACCCCCTTTCTTCATGGGAACAAACTTCTCTCAGGGCAGCACAAGCAGACAATATGTTGGGACAGCGTGACTTAGGGATCTGCCATACAGTATTACAAGTAATAACATGAACAGATAAGCTCCTGTCAAGAGAAGGATTAATGAATTCAGCGGTGATAATAATGCTAATGTTTTAGGTTTTCATTCAGTGCGCTGACAAAATCTAAGGGTTTGTTGTTTTCTATTCAGGTTTCCTTTGGTGTCCCGCAGGTATTTCTTTTTAAGAAAGCTGTCTGCAGCATGCAGAAGTGTTTCTAAAGACACTGTGCTAGAAAGGCTGAACATTGAATGGGCGTTCTCAGACCAGGAGGACAAGAAAATCTGAGTTGAAGAAAGCACCTGACTACACAAACAAGGTTCTCCTCATGCATGTGTTATTTGTAACTTTATATAATACAAACCAAGTGGATTGTAATTCTAGTTATAATTAAACAGCCCAATCTGATGCACAGCGGAAAGAATGATTATATAATGAGTCCACTAAGCCATTGTCAGATCAGGTGAATTGCCTTGCTACCTCAGAGCGCAACCAATTGTATTTTAATTAAGAGATGGTCCCGCATCTTGGTCTAGAGTGTCAGTGTTGCCTGAGACAGAGTGACCTCATCTTTCTGAGAAGAAGAGTAGCTTTAGAGAGGGAGGGAGGGAGGGAGGTTGGGAGCTGCTGCTAAGACACAGCAATTAAGTAACAAGAAAGTTAGCTCCCTCTTAAAGAGGATTCTGTCTGATTATCTCATGTATAGGATAGGTAATATCTCCTCTTAACCCAACAGGTCCTTATGAGTTACTCCAATACTATATTTAATTGGGCTCACCCCAGGCTACTGACCAGGGCCCTGTTTCCCAAAAGCATCTTAAAGCACTAGATCGACATTAAAAGAAATTTGCCTATTCACACTGGTGAAAAGTTAGATGAGAAGATGGATACCACTATTATATGTGTCCAATAAATGTGAAGCTACAGTCTGTAGCCAGTTAGTTTAGTTTAACACAGACTGGAAACGGGAAAACAGGTGGCAAATTGTAATTTTTACATTTCAAATATGTTAATTAGTGAGCATTAGAGGTGCTGGTAGGCAGATTTTGTTACCTCCAGAAAGATCAATGGCTATCTGCTCCCTCTCGTTTTCAGTCTTTGTGCTAAGCTAAGCTAACTGGCTGCTGGCTTTAGCTTCATATTTAATGGGTATGACAATGGTATCCATCTTCTCAGCTAACTTTAATGTAATAAGCATATTTCCCAAAATGTCAAACCATTTTTGAGACTTACAAAGATGACTGTTTGGAAAAAACACCACTCAAAGAACATAAATTCACAACTTTGAAACTCTTTGACAGCACCTAAATGATAATGTATAGTGTATTTGTAAAAAAAATAAAAAATAAAAAATAACACATTACATTTTTATAACACAAAAGAAAACCCAAACCTGCATTTCTGAAGTTGTGTTATTCTGCTGTCAGGTGCAGAATCTCAATGAGGAACCAAGCTGGAAAAAAGTCCAGAGAAGTTAGACAAGAAGAACACGTCCTCCTGTGTCTGCTTGCATGAAGCCAATCAGTGAACCTGATTGTTGAGCGTTAGTAGGCAAAAGTCCACCTTGTGAAATACTAATAAAAAAGCACATTTACTGTCCTCTCCACTGGTTTGTCTAGTGGCATATTCATCCAGTATACTGCAATAGTAGCGCTGGTGATGCTGCATGGAGGCCTGTGAGCACATATGCTCCTCCACATCATCGTGACCCAGGCTCAGGGCACTGTGGACCAGGTGCTTAATCATTCATGTCGTGGGAGGTGGAGGGACAGAGAGATCTTATTCAGTGCTTACCTGGGTATCTACTGCTCTACTGAGTGTAACATAACGATACAGAAACAAGATCCAAACCACACCAATCCAACTATCCCCCCTTTCTTTCTCTCCTTTTTCTTTGTTTCTGCTTCTCTCTCTCTCTCTCTCTCTCTCTCTCTCTCTCTCTCTCTAAGCTCCATTACATCACTACCAACAGCAATAAAGACCCCAGTCCTCCTTCTCCCTGCTGGCACAGTCTAGGTCTGGTTACTGATCTTTGATTAGATATATACGTTACAGGCTAATCACCAACTGCTTTATTACTCGGTGTAACAATACTGGTCAGGGGAGCACCATTGTTTGTGTAAAAGTGCCACTGGGTTGAAGCCCAAATACAATTTTTTTGCTTGGGTGAAAACAATTATCGGATCCTATGATAGCATTCAAATGACAGAGGTGTGAATATGTTGGGGGCATTTTATGTGCTTGTAGAGAGTGGTGACAATGTAGACATGACAGGAAATGAGGGGAAGAAAGATGGGCAGTGGCAAAGGGCAACAAAGGTAACTGGACTGACTTAAGGGGTCATTTTTGGGTCTAAGTCAGGTTTCACAAATAATGATCATAAACATAATATAATCTAGTTGTTTCATAGATGATATAAAATGATGATATTACAAATGTAGAGAATATTACATGTATAATATAATATTTTTGCTGAATATTGTGCTTTCTTGTTGTACATTGAGGTGTCCCCCCTATGAGATGACAAGCAGTGGCCCCAGGTCAAGTTGAGTTTGAGACCTCTGGCCTAAGTGATTAATGAAGGCAATCATTTTTTTAAAGGTCCAATATTGAGCAACAGCGCTTCAATTGCATACTTCCTCTAAAAGTGCTTGTTTTTTGCCACTGACACAACACTATGGAAATCCTACAGAGATAGACTTTATAGAGAAAAGGTTATTTTTTGTTTAACCAGAAACAGCAGTTATATCACTGTGTTCAAAGCGACCAGAATCCATTGACAAAAACAGTAATTTTACCTTATAACATCGTAACACTTCATTCACACTTGACAGATACAAAATAAAACTCACCAAAACATTGGTTCCATTGTTCCAACAATTACCAGTTCTGGTTTGGTGGAAATTCCTTTAATTCACCAAGTTAATTACTGTTTTTGTTAATGGAGTCGCTTTGAACACAGCAATTTAACTGCTGTTTCTGGGTAAACAAAAAGGACCTTACTCTTTCACAAAAAGGTCTATTCCTGTAGGGTCTTTTCGATAATGTCAGACAAGTGGAATAACAATCTGAGGCTGTGCGCAGTTGCCCATAAGGATCAGGTGCAGCAAACTTTCACAACAGCTGGTTGCACTACGCTCCCTGAATGCTGAACAATTTCCAAAATTGTCCCCATTCATTACTTAGACACAAAAACATAGAAAAATAGGATCCTCATTGAAAAATACCCAAGTTACTCTTTAAACCCATAAGCCACCAGGTTCCTCTTTAAGTTTATAATCAGCCTTCTACTTCAATTTCCACTTTATCTTTATTGTACCTAAGGGAAGATTTGCCTTGCAGCAGACGAAACACATAAAACACACCGAATCAAAAAATAAAACATTATTATAAAATAAGCTACATAAAACATATAATACATGTAAAACATTTGGTAAAACCAACCAAACAAGCTCACATAAAACACTGTAGACTACATAATATCAAAACCATTCATTCTAAAGAATCTAATGCTTGCTGTGCTTTGAGATTAAGGCTAACATCAGCCTGCTAGTATGCTCACAATGGTTTAGCAGGTATAATGTTAGTGTGTTAGCATATGTTAGCATGCTAACATTTGATAGTTGGCACCAACTATGATAGTTGAGTTTTTAGTAATAAACCAAATGGCAATCCATCCAAATATGTGGAGACATAAAAAACACAAATGTCAACCTGCTTTTGGCGCTAGAGGAAAAGTGTGAGGTTACCAAACTCATAAAGCTGTATCATCTGGGAACAATGAATCTCTGTACAAAAGACTGTGCTAATCCATCTTGTAGAGTTTGAGATATTTCAGTCGCTGGTGGCACTATAGTGAGAAAGTCAAAGGATCACCAAAGTCATTAATCACTCTCTTGGGATCATGAACGTCTGTACAATAGTTGTTGAGATACTTCAGTCAAGACCAAAATGGTGGACTGATCAACATTGCCATCCCTAAAGGCAGTACAAAAGTAAACAACTGCACAAGTCTTTACAGTGTGCAGTTTAAACACACCAAATAAGTTATTGCTTTCAGCTCGATGCTGAAACTGAGGAGTCCAGACTTTTCTACTAACACAAAATGGGATACACCACTATTAGATTGGAAGTTGAATTTGGTACAGGAATTCTAATTTCTCATGAATATTTTCTTAAGAACTAACACTCAGCTTTCTTTTGTGTACAAAAATGACCTTGCCTTACAGTAGCTGCACCTTTTAGCGAGAGAATGGGTAGGAGTAAAAAATGGGTTTGCTTTGTAACCTGGTAACCACTTTAGAAAACACACACCCTCCTAGGTAACACAGGTGTCCATTTTCTCTGCTCTGGTGACCTAAATTTGAGAAAAGCTCAGGTTTCAACCAATTAATGGAGTGATTAATGCTTAGGAAAGCTTTCAGTCAATTGCCTATGATGGGTGACCAGTTGAGTGTTCAACATATTTGAATTATTCACTCTCCACTCCAGAAAAGTTGTCAAGGTTACCTCTGCCTTCGCCCCACCTCTCCCCCGGCCCAGCAGCCCAGCAATGCTTGTCCAATCTTAACAAGCTTTGTGCTACCCACTGGGCTCTGATTCAGCACGAGACCCGGCAAATCCAATTACACAGGAGTCAGAGAGGTTGATTTTCCCATTATAGATTCCATGCTGAGAATGAGAGCTGATGATAACACTCACATCACACCACTACTGCCCCCTCTCTCTCTTCTCTCCTCCTTATTTTGTCTCCATTTCACTGTTTCCCTCCCTTTATTTCTCCCTCTCTTCCTATCTAATTCCTCTTTTCCCAAAGACCTTCTTTCTTCCCCTGTCCCTTTCTTTGGATCGCTCCTTCTTTCATAGTCCATTATTCTAATTTTTCGGAGCAGCGTAACGAAGCCTGGGCCCGTCATGATTTCAGTACCAAAATGCTGGGTCAGTGAGGTTAGTTCATACCACACTGGACATTTTTTCACCAAGATATTATTTTTGTCTCGCTTATAAGACGAGAAGGATATACAACATTAATATGTCATTCTGTCCCATTTTTTATATTTTGAGTGTTTTTATGTTAAATATTTCACTGCATTACACTAGATTTGACAATTTTCTTTACTCAATACCTAAAAATATTTGTCAGCTTGGATAACCTCTCAAAGGTCACTGCAAAAACTAAATGCACAGTAATTCAGACAACTTGACTTCGGGGTGTCTGAGTGCCATCCTTAGGGGACACCGCGTGCCTGCTGTGAAGTGTGAAGTTACAGAGAGCTCTTTTGGAAATGAGGCTCTTTTACTCTCAATCAGCTGTGAAAAAGAAGAGAGACTTTTGCTCCATCTTTACCCTTTAGGGCACTGAAAAGGACTGACCTCGCCTCAGACCAGAGGCTTTGGTGTTGACACAGGTCACTCAAGGGTCAATACCATTGACCTCTCTAAACTTTCAAGATATGGTTTTCTGTGATCCTTCAGGATAATAGGATTGTGAAGTCCAGCGGTCTGTCCGGAGAAGTCGTTGGCATAATGGGACCTGTGGGGGCAATACTGATCAATACTCTGTCAGTGCGTAAAACATCAGATACTAAGCTCGATACAAATGGATGGCTGATGGTGACAACCCTGTCTCATAGTGCTGTTTTCAAATCCTTTACTTAAAGCGTCCCCAGCTGTGTAACCATTTAGGAGGCTCTTAATTGGCAACAGAAATGGGACATAATACCATATTTAGTACGGTATGTTTTCATTAGTGTAGTTTCTCCTACACACTCATTCCCAGGTCGTCAAATACAGACGCGAGCAGTGTTCAGTTAGTTGCAATCTGCATCTAGATGCCAATAAATCCTACACACTGGTTAATATATATATATATATATTATAACTTTTTCATATATTATTGGATAATATTATAATAACAATAAATTATATTCTGTCAACTGATCATAAGTTTTGTTTATAAAATCTATAGTAACTAATAGCTACAACTGTAGTGTAGCTATTAGTGTAAAGTAGTATTTAAGTGTAAAGTAGTATTTAATGGAAATCAAATTAAGTTTAGTACAGTCTGGTGATACAATGATAAGTTGCGCTCATTCTCACTATCTAGCCATTCAGATTTTTTGGGGATTTATTTTAAGTTTTCTGTTTTAGGTTTTGGGTTTTGAATTCTCCACTACTCAGACTGTAATAATACAGTATCGGCCTTTTTCACAGAAGACATTTTGTCACAGTAGAAAAAGCACAGGTGTTAACAATGAAATTAATGAATTCCATTAGGCTGCTTCAGTTTCAGGTCCTGGTATTGTGCATGCTGACTCACTGTCACACTATCATGACTTACTGGGACACTAGAAGAATGGATGCATCGTTAAGGTGATTTGTGCAAACCGACCCTTTAACTGCCTGGAAGTCATTATGCAAACACACAAGTTCAGTTTCAAACTTTTAAATTTAATTTTATAACATTATATAGAATAATTCCAATTCCCTTTTGACTATAAAGACACCTTAATGCTGATGTTGCTGTGAAATGTAATCATTGTTTTGTCACGTCTTTCCTCCGTGAAGGTGTAAGTACACTGAAACCTGTTGTAAGTCGTCTCTGACTGACTGACCTTTGACAGGGCAACCTGAGGCCTGACGGTCTGGACGCTCTGCTCCGTCCAAGCTGAAGCTTCAGTGAGAATACAGAGTCTTTGGCAGGACACTGAAGCAGCGCCTTGGCTAAGCATGGCTGACAGCAGCTTCCTCTGTGCGGCCAGAGGGTCACTCTGGGTGACGTGTTGTTCTGGGGGGACACTGTGTCTCTGCCTGCAGAGGAGATTAGAGGGGTGAGCTGACCTCGTTCTCAGAGGGGTTGGTGTGTTTTGAGTAAACACTTGGTGCAAGACAAAAACACAGGCTAAAAACACAGGCCAACCCTCAGGCGGTGATCCCATTGTTTCCCCATTACTCCAGAACAGGCATGAGA